CAACTCAAACCAAACATATATTGTCAGTACTCTCATGCGGTATTGAGTATAAGAAACGTTTTGATTATAAAACCAACACTGATAACCCTGCAAAAATATCAACTTCTTTCTTTTTATTTCAAAACCACATTCTCACCATCATCACCACCAACGAAATTTGAAACAACACTTTCCGAATTATTTGTATGTTTGCGGTATCCGTTTTCAATTCAAACTTTATCCGTTTTTTCCGCATATCGTACTGCTTTTATTTCAAATATTTTCATTCAAACCAATAATGTGTTACTCTAACTCATATATGAATGCAATGAGAAACGGAAATGAAAAATAATTTAATGTTAAATTAACTAAAACATAATAAGCTCATCTCGAAAGAGAAACAAACACATAAATCATAAACATATGATGTTCGCCTTAACAAGGCTAAACTCAAAACAAAAAAAAAACAAAAAATAAATAAATAAAATAAAATACTACTTCTTTTCTGAAATGTAATTCATCAATTGGAAACCTTTAAAATTTAAATTATTGCCGGTCAGCTTGACCAGACAATATTCTAACCCCGCACTTTTTATTTCGTTTCCCGTTTTTCTCCAATTTCTTCCAAATTCATTTCCCACAATTGAAATAAAAAAAAATTAATGCAATTAAAGCAAAATTTCTGTTGGATAATCCCTGATTTGACGACAGTGGCAGTTGGTGCCTCCCCTGACCGAAGCAGAAAAAACAGCAACTCATGAATGGGGGGCTGTAATTCAAGTCACACTAAGCACGTGAAAGAGAAAAAAACTATAAAACATTTTGTAAAGAATAATTTTCGGCCGACCATATGAGAACCATAAGGTGACAAAATGCCAATGTAAGCAAAAACAAAAATGTGAATCACAAAAAAATGAAATATTTTTTTATGACAAAAGAAAAACATTTATTCACACTCTGGTAAATGAACCGTCTCTACCGTCGACTACGCCAAACACCAGCCAAACGAAAAGAATGAAAGAAGAAGGAAACGATACCGAGAGCATTAAATTTTATACTTTTGCATATCAGAAATATGAATGAATGAAATGAGAAGTATTTGATTTCTTTCTTTTCTGGCCTTGTCGATGTCAGTATTTTGAGAGTTCCATTACAAAGTTTGTTCACTGAAAAAAAATGTTGATAAATATATTTTCAGTTTCTGTTGTGATTACACAAATTTACTGGGGTTGTTAAAATTCGGCACAAAAAAAAAGAACAAAAAATGAAACATTTTATCAGACTTAAGAAGGCCGGATTAGTCATTTGCTAAATTTATGTAAAATGTCATGGTCAATCCAACCCCAAAAATCTACACAGACAAGATTAGCACCACTTATAATTGAAACTAGGAAAGATTATATCTCGGCGTTGAAAGAAGCTGTTCAGATATAGCTATAGCTCCCAGATATATTATTCATCTCATGTTCTAAATTTGTCCTCCACATCCTGCATCTCGTAACAACGATATTCGGAAATACTTTTGCTAAATTTTATAGAGGTCGGTTCAGATTTGGATATAGCTCCCATATATATCTTTAGTCAATTTGAAGTTTATTGTGAACCAAATGGTATATATATAGACCCGAATCGAGTGGAATTTGACACATACGAACGAATTTAGCCTGGAAGAAAGTGTATCAAATTTGGTGAAAATCGGTTAAGATATAGCTATAGGTCCCATGTATATATACATATATATATATATGAAAGAAAATGGAGTTTATCTTTTTAAGGTACAGATGAAAGGCTCAACCGAATTTACTCAAACCTGGCAAATCTCAATATTTATGTCAGTATTAGCTCATAAAATGCGAAATAAGCCTCCGATTCTCTTCAAGTTTCTCATGTCCCAATATTTTTACTAATGACTGATACAAATCGGCCCACCCCTTCTAAAAAATCCTCAAAAAAGAGTCACAATTTTTATACCCTCCACCAAAAAAAGTATGGAGGGTATATTAAGTTCGTCATTCCGTTTGTAACTCACCAAAATAATCATTTTAGACCCAACAAAGTATATATATTCTTGATCAGCGTAAAATTCTAAGACGATTTAGCCCTGTCCGTCCGTCTGTCCGTCTGTTGTGATCACGCTACAGTCTAAACGAATTAAGATAGGAAGCTAAAATTTTGCACAGATCTCTCTTTTGTCTGCAGCAGGTCAAGTTTGAAGATGCGGTATATCGGTCCACAATATCGTATATCCCCCATATAACTGTACCCCCCGATATTCGGTATTTTTATGATTTTACCCACATTTTTTTATCGGAATTGTCTGAAAATCCACACAAGGAGTTCCTTGTGGGTACTTTATACCTTGACAGAGAATTATCTATATAGGTCCACGATATCATATAGCCCTCATATAATGGTACCCCCCATATTCGGTATTTTGGTGTTTTTAGCCATATTTTTCAACGGAATGGTCACAAGGGGTTCTTTGTAGACAAGGGGTTCTTTGTGAGCACTTTACCCCTGAAACGGAATTGACTATATAGGTCCACAATATCGTATATCCCCCATACAACGGTACTCCCCTATATTCGGTATTTTGATGTTTTTACCCACATTTTTCAACGGAATTGTCTGATAATCCACACAAGGAGTTCCTTGTGAGTACTTTATCCCCAGACATAGATTTGTCTATATAGGTCCACAATAGCGTATATCCCCCAATATATCGACACCTTCCGATATTAGGTATTTTAAAGATTTTAACAGAATTTTCAATGGATTTTTTTTTTTGTTTTTTTTTTTTTGAATATTTTCTAATTCGTTCCAAATGGTGGAGGGTATTCAAAGTTCGGCCCGGCCGAACTTACTGCTTTTTCACTTCTTAATATTTATATTCCTTATATTTTTCTCAAACAGAAATCTGATATGAATATGGAATACATCCGCCCACTCATACCGGTACCTCCCCCACAAAAGGTTAAAATTTTGATTACCAAATATTCGCATAAAAATGTAAATAATTGTTCGATTTTATTTCAATTTTTTACATCGCTTATATTTCGGAAAATATGGGGGCTGTTTCTAAATTGTTTTCAATTTGAATATAATTTGACAAATTTACGTTTGTATTAGATCAATAGATTTGTGCATATGTACACATAATCTAAATTTTTTGGGAGGTACCTCCGATTCTGATGCTATATCTCTAGTTCCAAGTGGAATTTTAAAAAATGTGATAGCCTATGTTACTTTCAGCGGATGTTGTAGTATACTTGGAAATTTTGAGGAAAATCTGTTTAGCGGTTTTCGAGTCCATAAATTACAAACAAACATACAAACATTTTTTCATTTACATTTTCTTTTATATGTATAGAAAACCTCCCTATATACCCTCACCCTCGTTGAGTCTTCTGACAGATGAATGCTCTAATAGGGCATATGCCGTTTGTTATACCCTCAGCCATATGGCTGGAAGAGGGTATATATCATTTGATACGGTCAAAACGTGCCTAGTCGCAATAACGGGTTTAGACACAAGGTCTCTTTGGACCAAATCCGTTTCAGAACATTTGGTGTCGATCTACCGATGTCCGTCAGTCCCTCTGTCTGTTTGGCTGGCTGGCTGGTGCACACGATAACTCTCGAAGGGAGAATCCGATTTGGTCCAAACTTGGTACATCGTAATATTTTTGTCAAACTTAGATCGAGTTCGGAGATGGGCAATATCGCTCCACTCCTTCTGGTACCTCCCTCACAAATGGTCAAAATTTTCAAAAAAATATATTTTCTGCACAGAAAGAGAAACGACAATCCGATTCTGCTCCAATTTTGCAAATCCTAATATTTGCCTCAGTGCTGTGTCAGGTGCAAAAATGGAAAATATCGGTCGACTCCATCAAGTTCCTCCCCCACAAAGGGCCAACATTTTGAATAATTACAACTCTTATAAAGTGTGATATAAGTGTCCAATTGTCTTCAAATTTCACACATCCCAATAACTTTATTACCCCAAGGTGTGGTGTGAAGATGGAATATATCGGTTCACTCCTTCTGATACCTCCCCCACAAAGGGTCAACATTTTGAATATTCATTAAGGTCATAAAACGCGAAGTAAACATCCGATTCCATTTAGACTTGGCCCAACTGAATATTTCTATCAACACAGGATCTGTTATAAAGGCGGTAGAGATCGGAACATTTCTTCTGGTACCTCCTCCCCAAAGGGCCATATTATGAATAACCAAAACGTTTATAAAATCCGAAATAAGCATCAAGTGCTCCATTATTTGGACTAACACAAGATCAGGTGTGAAGATGGAATATATCGGTCCTCTCCGTCTGGTAAGTTTGTGGAGGTCAAAATTTTGAATATCCATGGAGCTCATAAAACGCGAAATTAACATCCGATTCCATTCAGACTTGGCATATCTCAATATTTACATCAACACAATATCTGTCATAAAGATGGTAGAGATCGGACTATTTCTTCTGAAACTTCCCCTATAGGGTTCAAGATTGCTGTGTTGACCATTAAGTGGCGTTGCCGGTATGCTGGCGTTTAGCGCGGCTATGGCTCGTCGGATTGGGGGTTGGTTCTTGCCACTTGCAGATCTTTTCGTTTGAACAAACAAAAAAATCATACCGGACTTCAAACTAAATTAAAAAGGGGGTAAAAAGAAGTCTGAAACATGTCAACAAAAAAGTAAAAAAAAGAAAACGTTCACCTTAACTACAACCAAATTCCAAACTTACATTTGTTATCACCACAGAAACAGTGCTCCTGGCGGCTGACCAGCCAGGAGATAGCCCTCCCTCCGAGAACACCTCTCGCCATGACGTCTACTCATACTTGACGTCCCAGATCTGACTCTTGACTTACCACATTTTATATCATTACCACCGCCTTTTAAAAAGGGCTTTAAGCCAAGGACATATTTATCTTTTCTATATGAAATTGGTACATTTTATTTAAACTACTTTAAATACCCAAATAACAATTCGTAGAAAAAATTACATGCTAACTTTAACGTTTGCGTTCAAATTTAATAATGAATTCAATTTAATGAATAAATACAATTTTGCCAAAAATTACAAAAAAACTTTCCTTTTTCTTCTTTTAGACTGCGCTTTCTGATGACAAAAATTAGGGTGCAATAAAGGCAGCTTGCAATTGTGGTTCTTCCCAACAAGTAAGTACGTAAGTATTGTTTTAAAGTTTAGCTTTTTTAATTATATTCCGCGTTAAATTTTTGTTAATTATATTTCTTTCCATCATTTTAAGGAAAGGCAAATAAAGGTGGAGTGTCGATAGCACTTAAAATCGACGAACGGATTAAAAGCCTGGTTACCTAACCTTGAATAGAGCTCTATTCAACGTCGTGTACCTGCAGACTAACCAAAAGGTGATTAAAATTGACTTCATTTGTTTCCCCTTTTAATTCATATTGCTCCTTTTTTTACAGAGAAAAAAAACGCGGAATTTAATTATGATGCTTCGTCGTTCATCTGTCTGTCCGAGGTTTCTTGTATTAAATGTAGATTGGGAATACCAAGCCACGCTGGGTTAGCAATGGCGCAAAATCAGCGGCTCCCTCGATGGATTGGATGGGCGATGGTGTGGCTTGTAGGCTCCAATTCTTCATGAATTTTTAGGTTTAAGAATTATTTTCTTGCTTTAGATTCTTAGTTAATTGTTTTGGTTTTTTTTTTTCAATTTTGTTAAATTGTTTCCAAACTTTGTTTAATTTAAAAAAAAAGTTCAATTTTTCTTTTAATTTTCAATTTTTGTGAAAACTATTTGTTTTGTTATAAGTTTTCTTTCAACATTTAGCCTTTTGTTGTTAAATTTTGCTTAATTATTTTAAGGCTTCCAATTTTGTTAAAAAAAAAGTTTGTATTTCGTGTTGTTAGTATATGTGTTTTTAAACAAATAAAAACATTGAATTCACTTCTCAACAAGTGGTTCATCACCAAAAACTTTGTCTGCTTTTTTCTTCGCTGGTTACAGGGAGCCGCGCATCCAATCTTCTTCGCAGGTAAAATCAAAAAGGACAGATTTTTCTTACAATTTTTGCCAGGAAATTCTGGCTGCCATTTTCCTCATTTAATTTTTCTATTTATACCCTACACCACAAGGTGGTCAGGGTATTATGTCTTTGTGCATTTGTTTGTAACAGGCAAAGGAAACGAGATAGACCCACAGTTCCTTTTGATGATCTGCATAGAATCACATTCTGAGTTGATTTATGCATGTCAGTCCGTCTGTCCGTCCGTCCGTCTGTCCATATATTCTTGTGAACAAAATGCAGGTCGCATTTATTATCCGATTGAGATGAAATTTTCCAAACAACATTTGTTTGGCCCAAGGACAAACCCTATTGAAATTGGAGATAATCGGTAAAGATTTAGATATAGCTCCCATATATATCTTCGTCCGATTTGCCTTTTATTGTGCACCAAACGTGTAATATCAGCCCGAATAGCATGGAATTTCGCACATACAACCAAATTATGCCTGAAAAAAAGTATGCCAATTTTTATCGAAATCGGTTCAGATATAGCTATAGCTCCCATATATATTGTTCATCCGAATTGTTATTTTTGTCCTACGCTGCCGTAATATGCACTCTGTAACAACAATATTTAGGGAAATATATCAAATGCAGCTCAGAAATACATTTGCCACATTTTATCGAGATCGGTTCAGATTTGGATATAGCTCCCATATATAACTTCGTCCGATTTACCATTTATTGTGCACCAAACGTCTAATATTTGTCCAAATGGGATGGATTGGCACATACGACCGAATTTAGTCTAGAAGGTAGTATGCCAAATTTGGTGAAGATCGGTTCAGATATAGCTATAGCTCCCATATATATTGTTCATCCGATTTATTGTATTTGTTACCCACAGCCGTAATATGCACTCCGTAACAACGATATTCAGGGAAATATATGAAATACAGCTCAGAAATATCTTTGCCAAATTTTATCGAGATCGGTTCAGATTTGGATATAGTTCCCAATATATTTTTAACCGATTTCAAATTAATTTTGCACCAAATGGGCAATACAAGTCCGAATTTAAAAGATACAAATGCTTCGGCATATTTAGTCCTTTGAATTTTAAATTATAATTATAATCATAGCGTGTATGATTCGAATTTACCTAGCAAAAGGCTCCATTAAGAAAACATTTTGAATATGTCAGAAAAATGTACATGTATAACTTTCAGATTAGATTTAAATTTTATAGACATTTTTACCAAGAAAACGGAAAGCTGTGAGCGATATATGGCACGCCCTTCATCAGAACTACAGTAATCCTAATTTGCACGATTTTAACCATCAACCATTCGTCACAGTTTATGACAATAACAATACCGACTGTTCCCATACCAGTAACTGCTGCTCAAAAATAAAATGGACAATAATTTATTTATAAATTTTCCTCGCATAAAAGACCAATTCATTTTGTTTATAAACAAATTGAATGCTAACAATGTATTATTAGCTTGCAACGCATAAACGGACGGACGGACACCACTCAAAGCAGACGCACCACAGCAAAAAAAAAGTCGAAAATGAAAGAGAAATTTGACAGCCATGAATTCACAGTTAGCGGATAGATACAAAAGTACAAAACATAATTTGGCATTGTGTGGACATTTAAAGAAGATCACGACGATCGCGATGAACAGCAGAAAGAAGCGAAAAATTATTAATCTAATATATTAAGACTGTCACTTTGTGTGAAAGTTTATTAGCGAAAATCTTTCCCCCGAAATCAAAAAAAAAAACTGCCAACCTGCAAATTTACGTGGCATCGTCTTCATCATCATCAGCATCATCCACTTGATGGTCTTTCTAAAAGATACTAATAATGATGATGGCATTTGAATAAAAAAACACAAAAAAAGAAAAAACTCTCACACACGAGACGGCGGAAAGAATGACCGCGCAGTGGCAAAAAACGAAAGAAAGAAAATAAATGTTCTTCTTTAAGTATAGCAAATTAATGCAATTTAATTGAAATGTAGTGCGATTAATCAAAAAATATAAAACGCACACACACTCAAAGACACACATATGTATGCAGATAGATAGAGAGATATTTACACACAAATTTACAATTGAAAGGAGCTGCAGCATCACATCGTCAGTAGTTATATGTGTATGTATGTCTGTATGTATTCCGACTTGTCTTGTGTCAGTTTCATGCCTTTGCACCGATCACTGATATGATGTTATGCCTCCGGATCTTGTCGTTGCCCCGATCAACATGACAATGATCAGCCTGAGAAGTGATGAGCAGCATCCAGATGCTGATGATTATTCTGTGATGATGCTGCCGTTGTTGCAGATTATGACACTGAGCGCATGAATGCAAAATTACTCAATAAAATTGTGGAAAATTTAATTAAAACAACACCAAGGAAAGTAAGAAGATCGTGCAGGGTGATGAAAATGCATAGTTGAGGTAATAATAGGCAAACATCACAGGGTAGACAATATTTTGGAATGGAGAGGAATTGCAACAGGAAGGAATTTCCCCTCCTGTGGAAAATTATTTATTGATTTCATTGAGGTACCGGAAAAATATATTTCTCATAGGTATTTTCAGATTTATTCCGACATTTAAAAATACTAGCAGAGTAATTACTCCTCCCAAGGAAAGTCTCCGAAAGGGGTTATTCTCAGCAGCTGGGATTGACAGATAAAGGATGGAGAAGTTTGAAGACCGATGATAATTTTGAATAAAACATACAATATTTAGGAAATTATTTTAATTTATTCCCTGAACTCTATGTCTAATATGGCAAAAATGTGCCACATCAAAATGGCGGTTTTGGACCATGTGTCTCTTTGTCTGGAGCAAATCTGTTTCAGAACATTTGAAGTCGATTTAAGGGTATTCATATTGCTGGTGAGCGCAATAACTACCGAAGTGAGTATCCGATGTGGTCAAACCTGGGTACATCGCAACATTATTGTCAAACTTAGATCGAGTTCGGAGATGGGCAACATCGTCCACTCCTTTTGGTACCTCCCCTAAAACGGTTGGATATTTTGATTAGCCACAAGGCAAGTAAAACCCTCATTTCGCTAATTCTTTTCGAATTCTCAATATTTCTATCAACATGGTAGATATTTTTGTTGTGTACATGGTAGATGTCGACCTTCTCCTTTTGGAACCTCACCCACAAAGGGTTTGAAAAACTAAAATGATCATAAAACGGCATCCAATTCTACTAAAATTTTACACATGTCAATATTTTTACTCAAACGAGATCTGATGTGAAAATAAGGAACACTCCTTCTGACACCTCCCCCGCAAAAGGTCAAAATATGGAATAATTGCAACTTTTATAAAATGTGATGTAATAATCTGATTGTCTCCAAGCGTCACATAACCCTATATTTTTATACCCTCAGCCATATGGCTACAGTACCCTCTGTATCACTTGATACGTGCAAAACGTGCCTCATCTAAATAACAGTTTTAGACCCCATGTCACTTTGGGCTAAATGCGTTTCAAGGCATTTGGAGTCGATCTGAGGGTGTCTGTCCGTCCTTCCCTCTCTCTCTCTCTGTCTTAACTCTTAAAAGGAGAATACGTTTTTCTCCAGACTTGATACATCGTAATATTTTTTATCAAACTTAGATCGTATTTGGAGTTTGGCAATATCGGTCAATTCCATCTGGTACATCCCCAAAACAAAAGATCGAAAATGTCCAAGAAAATATTTTAGTTCATAAAAAAGACAGCATTATCTGATTTTGTTCAAACATTGCAAATCCTAATTATTGTTTTGTGCTAGGTTAAGTACCAAAATATACAATATCCGCCCACTCCATAAAGTACCTCCCCGACAAAAGGTTAAAATTTTGAATAAAAATAATTTTTATAAAATGTGATATGAGAGCCTGTTTGTCTTAAAATTTTGAACATTTTAATGTTTCAAATAAATAAGGTCTTGCATAAAGGTGGGATATATCGGCCCACTGCTTCTGGTGCCTCCCCCAAATATCTGTTATGAAGATGATATATATCAGCCCACCCCTCCTCCCTCTTCATGTACCTCCCCCATAACTTGTGAAACAAGTCTGCGATTCTTTTCAAACTTGGTATACCTAAATATTTTTCTCAACTAGAGATCTGATGTGAATATAGAATATATCGGCGCACTCCTCTGCAAAATTTTACATTTTTTAATAACAAGATATATTTTATTTTCTTTAGATTTTGCATTCCAAAATGTTTTTGTTGGTTGATCTTATTATTTTTTAAAGTGACACATATGGCCAATAATTTTTTGCTGAGTACCGGCCCTTATGCTAAAATTTGAACCGATATTAAGAAATTTTCCATTTTCTGTTGAAAGGTAGAGCTGGAATCTTATATCAGAAGGTTCCGCAATGTGGAGGCGAAGAAAAATAATGTACATACACTGATTATTTTCTCCATATCTTTTCTTTTTTTATACCCTCCACCAAAAAAAGTATGGAGGGTATATTGAGTTCGTCATTCCGTTTGTAACTCATCGAAATAATCATTTTAGACCCAAAAAAGTATATATATTCTTGATCAATTCTAAGACGATTAAGCCCTGTCCGTCCGTCTGTTGTAATCACGCTACAGTCTAAACGAATTGAGATAGGAAGCTAAAATTTTGCACAGATCTCAATTTTGTCTGCAGGCAGGTCAAGTTCGAAGATGGGCTATATCGGTCCACGATATGGTATAGCCCCCATATAACTGTACCCCCACGGTATTCGGTATTTTGATGATTTTATCCACATTTTTCAATGGAATTGTCTGAAATTCCACAAAAGGAGTCCCTTGTGGGCATTTTACCCCCTCAAAAAGAATTGTCTATACAGGTCCACGATATCGTATATCCCCCATATAACGGTACCCCCCGAATATTCGGAATTTTTATGATTTTAACCACATTTTTCATCAGAATTGTCTGAAAATCCACACAAGTAGTTCCTTGTGAGTACTTCACCCCCTGAGAGAGAACTGTCTATACAGGTCCACGATATCGTATATTCCCCATATAACGGTACCCTCCGATAT